GTGAACAGTAAAAGTTCGATTGCAGGCTTCGGTCTTTATTGTAGCTTTCATGGTGTGCCTGGTTTGTGTCCTAAACCACCTTTGTTTTCTGAACTTCATAACTTCACGTAGGGTTGGAGTTCTAGAGTTGCGTGACTAGTTACTTCATAATTTGCCCAGTTTAAAGAAAGTGGTGGTGGGGGGGGGGATGTCTGTATGTGGAATGAACTAATTTAGCTGATGGAATTTTGAAGAAATGTTGTGGGTTCCCTCCTCCGGCTTGTACCCCGTAGCAGAAACATACTTTGCAGAAATGAAAACAGTCTCCAGCTAACTTTAGGCATTTCTCGAAAATAGCAGTGCTTCAGTTTGTTTGGCTGGGCCAGTTCCCGTACCACACACCTGGTGTATATCACTTTAAAAATAAATTATGCCTCATTAAATTACAATTAAATGAAATCATGATCGTTTGTTTTTCCTGAAGGAAGATGCTTTGCATATTGAATGCCTAATTTGTTGCAGGTGAGAAAAGGCTGAACAGATTATTTGGTATCACTTTATTTTTATTTTTATTTTTGTAATGCTGATTGTTGGTTAGTTTTTATATAGACTAGTAGCTCAGAATTATATCAACATAAATGATAGGTGCACTCACGGTATTTTGCTTTATTGACTTTTCTATCACTCTGTCATCTCCTTGCCATGGATTATCAACACAGTCTGTTAGAGCAATCTATTCAACCTTGCAAGGAAATAGATTTTTTGAGACTTCAGTTTCTCATGAATAGGCTATTCATATGCAGGCTACTTCCCTATTTGCTTCATTTTGGGGTTCTCCACGGCCCTTTCAGATCTGAAAAGACAACATGGGAAAGGACTAAAAATACATACACCGGGTTAGAGAAATAGTCTGGTATTCCTGAATTCCTTCCATAGATTCATTGCACTGATGTCTGTCTCTAGTTTAGTTACCATCGCCCTTTATTTGGTTGGTATCTGGTCTCCCTGTCTTCTTGGGTCCTTCAGGGGAGTATGACCCATCTGGGACACACAGATCCTCCACCACCAGATACACTTGACCCAGTGTTTCCTCTAAGCTGAGTTAATGTGAGCTAACTCAGTTTTTTAGCCTCCAGCTCACACATTTTTGTCTGAGCTCAGGAAGGGTGGCTCCAGAGCACTTTATGCAGTAGCCAAATTGCTCACGCACAGCATTAATGCCAGTGGCTCACAAAGTAGAATTTTTGCTCACAAGACTCCACAGCTTAGAGGGAGCTTTGACTCAACCACTGTTATTTTTGCCTTTTCTGGATTCAACTTTAGCTTAGACACAGCATCTCCAAGGCACCCATTCTAGGATGTGACAGCTGTTCCCAAATCTGAAGAGGATGGACAAATGAGGGGGGAGGATTGCCACAGGGACCTCTAGCTTATTCGTCCAAGGAATTTTGTACAACTGTTAAACAGCACAGGGATGCCCTCCTTGGGATAAGTCCTTTGTGTGTGGGACAGCAACCACCCAACACCACCTTCTGTCGTGGCCCTGAAATAGTAGCATCCAGTCTGTGCAATTGAAAGCATGACTGAACTGGGCTCAGAAGATTAGTTTCCTCCAAGAATGTGTTGTGTTGAAACACCACCACCCGTTCAGCCCCTTTCTGCAGGCTGGAGAAGTTGAGAAGGCTTTTAAAGCAATGGCCTAACACTTGTCTCTTTCAAGAAAGTTGAAACTGTACACTCCTATAAAGATACAGTGACCACTGCCTTGATTACACAGCCAGTTTCCTGGCGCTAGATGCTATAAGCCAGTGTGGGCCCTAGTGGATCTGGTGAGCGGCCGGCTGAACTTTGCACTCTGTATCCTCAACAGGAAGTAATCCGTGCTGGTGCATTATGAAGAGACTGAGATCACTGGTTGCTACTACTTGCCCTCTTCCCCAGCTGAATTGCCGTTCAGAGGAAAAAGGGAGTGATTTCTAGAAGCGACTGTAACAATGTAGTTATAGTCTGTAACACTGGAAGCTGTCATGAAGGTAGTTCCTAAGCTCTGCTTAGGTGAAACTCCTTGTCCTTAATAACAACCATTTCTTCATTCAAATATTTATATGCTGATTTTATTTTCAATTAGCTAATTGGCAGCCAAGAGGACAAGGAAGTATTTGACTTTTGATGTGTAAAGGCCTTAGAGTTGAAACATTATTTACGGTAAGCTGTTGTTAAATTGTTAGAATACAGTGCTCCCTGTAAGCTGTGGAGTCTTGTGAGCAAAAATTCTACTTTACGAGCTACTGGCATTAAAGCTGTGCGTGAGCAGTTTGGCTACTGCATAAATTAGTTTGCTCTGGAGCCATCCTTCCTGAGTGAAGACAAAAATATGTGAACCGGAGGCTAGGAAACTGTGGGCTAGCTCACACTGACTCAGCTTAGAGGGAACACTGCTGAAGACTGTTCATGGAGATAGAATAGTTTTTTTCCCCTTGAAACTAGTTGCACATATTACAGATTCTTGTTAATGGCATGGATTTAGGCAGGCAGTACTTCCAGCACAGAATGATCCTCTGAGGTAACCTACAGGTAGACTAAATGTTTGTCCTTGTGTAGCAAAAAACACCCTGGCTAGGGGTGGAATTGAGGTTGAAGAAAGTCACAGAGTTGTTGCAGCCCAGTCTCCCTTCCAACTGTTTTTGTGGGGTTTTTTTAAAGCCACCATGCTAGACTTGGAATTTCTCCCAACATTGTGTCTGCTTGGACTGTGCCTGGTTGCATAAGCCTTTTACGCATAGAAGGTGTTGCAGCCTCTTCTGTCTGTTGCCAGCTATTTTTGAATAGGTAGTCACTCTGACACTTGCAGAACAACCGCGTTCACAGCCTTACTATCGGCTCACGTGACCCTAGTTGTGCTGTTCTTCTGTATTACGGTTGTTTGTGCCATGAATATATTGTAAGCCTGGCTCTTATCATAAAGGAAGTCATCGGCATATATCCGTAGTCTTGTAATTCAGATGAGCACATTGCACCTAGCGTGGAGAGGTGCCCTGGGGCAATTTGCCAACCTCCCTCCCATCCACTGGTTCGTGTGTCCTACCTGCTCACTGAACGATTTATTGTGTGTGTGTGTGTATATATATGTATATGTATAGTGTGTGTGTGTGTGTGTGTATATATATATAGTATATAACAATATATTGAATATACTGTAAGCATGGCTCTTATCCTAAAGGAAGTCATCAGCATATATCTGTAGTTTTGTAATTCAGATGAGCACATTGCACCTAGCGCGGAGCGGTGCCCTGCACCCAACCTCCCTCCCATCCACTGGTTTGTGTGTCCTACCTGCTCACTTAACAATATATACCAAGTTCTTTGACCAGGTTCCATGGCCAAGCCAGTTCCTTAGTGCCAGGGTGTAGGATTCAATATGTGTCTTTTGACTGTAAGGCCAGGGTTTTTTTTGGGGGGGGGGGTATATGTGTGTTTTGCTGCTGTGGCTCTCTGATGTATATTCTTGATTGGGAAGCAGAGCCCGGTTTTAAAGTGGCTGAATGTGAATTTCTTCTTCCCTTTCTCTGCTGGCACGAAACAGCCAAGGGGAGAGAGACAAGGAGGGATGACATCACGTCCATATGTCCTTGTGCACCAACCACAATCTTTGTGCAGCCCTCTGCTGGCTATCCCACCACTTAGGGTGGCCCGTCTGGCATCGGCCAGAGCCCAGGCCTTTTCCATCATGGCTCTGGCTGTGTGGAATAGGCTCCTCGAAGAGCCCCCTGCTTAGAGATCTCCAGGAGACGCCTCCAGGAGACGCCTCCAGGCCTGCCTCTTTGCCAGGGCTTTTGAGAGGGGTTGAACGTCAGGCATCATTTAAAGAGGGGAGGGAGGGAGAGATTGGGGGGTGATTATTTTATTACGGTTTTAAGTAGAATTTTAAAAAACTATTATTATAAGCTGCTTTGAACGACAAGGATAATATGTTTTATTAAATAGGGAAATAGTCAGGGAGTAGATTTCAGGCAGGAGAGGGTGGGGAGGAAGCATATGAGTTGGCTGACTGCTGCCTGTTTGTAAGGTTTCTGTAGGCATGCCCTAGATTTGGCATGTGACCGTAGGGTGGTAGCTTTACCTGTAATTGTGTAGGATTGAGAGCACACATTGGGCTAGCGGGTAATTAGCGTTTTTCCTAGGAAAGAGGCATGACATATGCTTGGTAGCCGCAACGGTACAACAAAACATAAAATTACTTCGGGATCAGTTACATTTTAAATACTATATCAGGACCTTGGCTAGCATTCTGCAGGTTCAAGTATAACGTTCCGTTCAAACACACGTAACCCAGCCCCTGATTTCTTTCATGTAAAAAAGCTAAGAGTCGTGTAATAAATATGGTCAGTGCCACCTCCTGACTCTCTGAGTGAAGTGGCAAGACAATCTCAGACCGTCAAATTTCTAAGGGTACAGCATCTAGAGAATTCCTCATATTTGCAGCATTTTCTCTCTTCCCACTAGTAAGAGCCGACAAGTTTGCAGTGAATGAACTGTAACGTCCAAAACCCTGCCAAACATTTTTCTTCATAAGTCTCCTGTGCTGTTTAAATGTCTGAACTAAATTTACCAAACTTGGCAGATTCCTGAAGATGAACAGGGCTGCCAAGTGTTTCCAGCCTCAAGCAGGGGAAGGAGGGAGGAAGAAAGCATGCGAGAGAGAGAGAGAGCACACACACTAATAGTTCCTAAAATATTTGCAGGCGGCACCTGGCTATAATTGCAGTTATAGAATGATGTCCCACTGCCCACCTGCCTCTCTGGCACCTCTGTGTTCAGATTGTTCTTAAACGGATGACTGAATCTGTGAACAGAGTCACTCCATAATAAACCAGAGTTCCTAGAAAATGAAGCTTGCCTTCTACAAAACATTCCCTGCGCTTCAGCAACTCGTGAAGGGTCTCAGCTTTGCAACCTGGCTAGTTTCAACAAGCAGATTTTTAAAAAGACTTGGTCTTTTTTTTTTTAATTTTTTGAACCAGGGATTGCTATCAGAGATCCTGCGAAAAGAAGAAGACCCTAGAACAGCCTCCCAGTCCCTCCTGGTAAACCTGAGGGCAATGCAGAATTTCCTCAACCTGCCTGAGACAGAACGAGATCGTATATATCAGGATGAGAGAGAGAGGAGTATGAACTCCAGTGTGAGCATGGTGTCTTCGGCCGCCAGCAGTCCAAGTTCCTCCAGAACCCCCCAGGTAAGGCTCAACCCTCTTATGATTGCTTTCAGAATGGTCCCCCGGTTTAAAAAACACCACAGCCAGGTGTCATACGAGATGCCATGTCAGGGTTTTCTCAGGTGGGGCACCCCAATGCGACCGGGAGGTCTTAATCTTTTGCGGATTTGGAGCTGCCGCTAAGAGGGACCTGTTGTCTTCTAGCAACCCTTCCTGAGTAAAAACCCATAAGTTTCTTGCTTCTTAATGCTGCAAATATAAAGAATGAGCTGCAATTGATTACATGAAAGAATCCAGAGCATGCTTCTCCCGTTGGCCGTGATCCCCAACTCCAGAAGGCGCTGCTGTGTGCACCCAGTGCCGTGTGGACAGTAGCTGAATACTCCTCCTGTGGGTCTCCACTGAATGCCGCAGGGCATTTATTGACAACAGAAAGAACGGGACAGCCACTGCTTGTTGTCAGCTTTGTTTGTGCCTTTCAGTCCCTGTGAACATCAGAACGTTTTTCTTGGTGATGACCCTTGGTTGCTATGCTAACAAGGAATTGCTGCAGTCACCTCTAGCTGATGGCAAGCCAACCTCTTAGCAGCAAGTGGAGCAGTGTAAGCAAGGATGTGTCTCAGAGACTGGAGTCTACCGATAGCATAATGTGTTCAGAACAGGGTGTCCACGTTGGGACTTGGTGCCTGGAGCACGTTACGCCTGCACTTAAGGGATTTAACTGGCTTCTGGTTTGTACCGGAGAGTAATTCAAAGTACTAGTGTTAACGCATAAAGCCCAGACATCTGGGACTGAGACATCTAAAGACCTGCCTGGTCAGGTATACACTTGCCCAAGAGGCAAGATCACCATCAGGTGCTCCAGTTGGGGTTGCAGATGTTATGGTAGTAAGCGCTCTCCTTTCTGCAAACGGAATGCAGGATGAAGGCTGAGAACAAATGCTGGAAGAGATTGGCACCAGGTTTCTGCTGATACTTGGGGTGGGGGAGCATGACGTTTCCTCGTTTGAGACCCACAAATCAGACATCGGAACTGTTATTTTTTTGGGGGGGAGGGGTGCGCTAGCTATGCTGCTCTACTGGCAAAGAGTAAATATAGTCCTTGATAAAAAGGATGAAAGCCAACTGATAATTATTATCTAGTTGGTTTGGTTCTAGAGAATATAACAATTAGTTTGTAATTACCTAGCAGGAAAAAGAGGACACTTCCAGCACAGTGTGTTTCATTTTTATAAAAGAGGAGTTTTATTCTGAAGCAACATTTCCATAATTAGATCATTCATTTGGTAAACAGAGGGCATGGTGTGTACAGTACTGTTTAGTAGTGCTGGATTCTGGAACTCAGAATTCTTAGCGATTTGTTAGCTATTCTATAATCACTTTTGCTGCAGAGCTGCGGTGGCTCAAGTGGTTAAGACACTGAACTGCAGGCTGTGGAAGGTCAGTAGTTCAGCAGTTCGAGACCCGAGTTGCCGCATGACGGAGTGAGCTCCCATCTCTAGTTCCAGCTACTGCCAACCTAGCAGTTCGAAAGCAAGAAATTGCAAGTAGATAAATAGGGACCACTTTCGTGGGAAAGTAACAGCGTTCCGTGCGCCTTGGTGTTTAGTCATGCCGGCCACATGACCACGGAAACGTCCTCGGACAGCGCTGGCTCTTCGGCTTTGAAATGGAGATGAGCACCACAACCCTAGAGTCGGACTCGACTGGCTTTCGAACAAGGGAATCTTTACCTTTACCTTTAATCACTTTTGCATATTCCACTTAACACATTCCCATTGATGGTGTGCATGTGTGAAATCCAGAAATGGCATTCTAAATATGCTTGGATCAGTTTTTTCATCAAGTGATGTCCATGCATTTCATGGTCACCAGAGATCAAATTAATTGAAGCAGATGCAGAATGAGGGGAGTCCATGCCATTGGTTGGAATGATCGAGGGTCAGCTGTATCCATCGTGCATCCAATCAGGATCTGCAGTGGCCAAGAGCACATAACACATGGCATAACTGATTTTGCCATGTGGGCATATGAAGGGATGTAGGCAAGTCAGAACTGTTTGTGCGGCCCTGATTTTTCAAGAGACCACCCTGGTTCCAAGTCCAATTGTATACAGCCTTGGTTCTTCCTTGCCAAGTGTTTGCTAGTACTTAAGGGAGGTGTGCTATGTTTGGTGTAGTGGTTAAGAGTGGTCGACTCTAATCCGGAAAACCGGGTTTGATTCCCCACTCTTCCACATGTAGCTGGCTGGGTGACCTTGGGTCAGTCATGGCTCTCTCAGACTGTTCTCTCAAGAGCAGTCCTCGAAAGAGATCTCTCAGCCCCACATACCTCACAGGGTGTCTGTTGTGTGGAGAGGAAGGGAAGGAGATTGTAAACTGCCATGAGACTCTTCTTCTTCCTTTCCCCCAAGCTGTGAGGTCTTTGGGTCAAGGAAAACAGTACCTGTCAAAGGGGTTCCTACCCCTGCCCCATGAAAGCACCATAGCCCCAGGTTTCTGGTCTGAGGTTTTCTTCTTCATCCTGTTGACTGATGCCTCAGGGTGCTCGCTAAGCCATTCACATATAACACAACCAGTCTGACCAGCATTGCCCTCACCATTGAGCAAGCTTGCACAAACCCGAGCCCACAGCCTGCTAGGTCTTAAATGAATTCTGTTCCCGCAAACTTGAGAGTAGAGTAGGTGATTCCCC